CTCTTCCTTCTATTTGAAGTTTAGAGTTCAGGCATCTCTTCTGTAGTTTTGCTCACGTCTTCTCTTTTCTTCGGCTAAATCATGTCACATGTACCGAACTCTTTTGGGAGTGTTTGCAGCAGCCGAGCACATGGGTCACCTTCGTCTATTATGTAAACTGATTTTTGTTTGCACCTCGTCGAACTTTGCAAGATGTCCCTGCACCCACCCCTGACCATTCCCGTTCGATGTGGTGGAATTTATAGTGTATCAAGTCTATATTTTCCGATGGCTGTGTGTCTAATGCAGTTTATCCCACACATCATTAGCAGTATTATAAGTTGCAACACGAAGTAGCGGCTTCGAAGCGAATGCGAACATTGGTCGCTTCTTAGGTTTGCAGTTTGCTTTCACCAACGAACGAAATTGAGATCCAAAATCTGACACCTACTTCATGTTTCTGTCTTTCTCCACTGCGTCACATTCTAGCACTACCTTCATAAGTATGCGCCACGTGGCTCACTTTACTTCTCAAATTGTTGCTTCTCTTTATCATATTTTGCAATTCTTTAACACATTATTTCTTGAAACAAAGGAGCACTAGTTTTCTTTGGCGTCTGGTCCGTCTCGTGCGCGTGAATGAACACGTGCTCGCAACCGTTCCAAATGTATTTCGGTTGTTTTCAGGTCAAGATCACACACTATCTTTGTTTCAATAAGCGTTCAATCAACCACGCTCTGCTACCCTGTTGCGGTCCTGTATACACATCCATTTTTTTTTTGTTTTTAACGATAACTACTATCACACTACTTTAGGTCTTCACTGCACCACGTCTATACGTCTCACCGATCACACTAGAACTGCACCGGGCGGGTACACATAGTGACCGCTAGAGCGCGCTCATAAAACTAAATATTGTCTTTCCCCAACAATCCCCAAACTGTTTGAAAACATGGTTCAGACATGGTCACAGAAAACATTTTCGGCATCGCTTGGCTGTTTGATCAGTCTGGCGCAACATGGCTTTATCAGGGAATGATCTACTTTAACTAACTTGGTAATTTTCAAGGGACATGATTAATGTTAAAGAGGCTGGCGTAATCTATACGGATAGGCCTTCGATCGCCCTATGATTTAGGTACTTTTAAAATGCTTTCGTTTGGTTTTAGTGTGTTTCTTTTGCCAGTTCGCACAGAATTGAGAGCATCTTCACTGTATCAAATACCATCTGGAGTTCCGCAAAAGTTTCATCTTGATCCACTTCCCTTTAACATCTTTATTAACAACTTACCACAGGCTTTGGAGTGCTGCTAGATTCTACTTTACACATATGATGTTAAGATTTTTGGAGATGTGTGCAATCATGGGGATGCATGTCTTTTATAGTCAACTAGACTAATTAAACAGTTGATGCAGTCGTAACATGCTTCTCAATGTGTCTAAGTGACCTGTTATGATGTATTCACTGGGATCTGACGTCCAGTTAGATAATTCGATCGATGGTGTGGTTCATGACAAGGTTCGTCATGTTAGTGACTTGGGGTCACTTTCGATTCTAAAGCTCTGGGGCTTCATTTTGAGAGACAAGATGTTTTAGAAATCCTTGTACTGATCTAGCTTCTTTGTAATTCATTAGTCAGACCCATTCTGGAATAGAACAGCATAGTTTGAAATCTCTGCTAGGATAACCAGCGGGCGATGCTTGAAAGGGTGACTCATAGGCTTGGCACCCGAATGACCATCTACGTCCACGACTATGAAGACATTTTTTCTGATGATAAACACAGCCTCTTCAGGTGATAGGGTAATGTTTGATTGCTTGTTCATGCACAAATTAATTCATTGAGCTCCATTGCCCTGACCTGTTGTCTTGCATCTCTTACAGAGTCCCTATTGTCCGAATAATATTTCGTCTACTTGACAGCAGGGGGAGGGGTAGAGCGATGTTCCACTTACTCGGGCGACAGGCGCGTGGTCGAGGCCTTTCTCGCATCAGATCACAACAGCAGCACTGGGAAGAAACAAGTCCCAATAAGAGCTCACAACAGTGGACAACACAAACGCACACAATGGGTCACATGAATAAAAATGAGCACTTGCTCCGGAGCAAAGTGAGTCTACTCCGCGGCACTGAGCAGAAGCTCCATTTCGTATGAATAAAAACTTCGTATGTCTCCGAAGAACTTCCTCATGTCTCGCGAGCATTTGCTCGTCGTGAACGAGTGATAGTGCAGGCTAAGAGTTTTAAAAATTGGGTTCTTGAGCAACAAAGATGTTACATACGTTACGCGCGTCGCGCACATTTGTGCGGAATAAAGAGCAATGGTTTGTTGTCTCATTCTTTAAATTCGAATATGAATAGCAGTAACGAAAAACAGGCGCTAGTGGCCCAACTAATTTTTACCGAAATGCTAAGTGAATATAAACTTATTTTTGAAAAGAGCCAGCTTTCGGAAGTTCACTGTGGCCGAAACAAAACATTACAAAGTTTCAAAAAACAGTACCCCGAAAAATTCCAAGTAGAAAAGAGCGATGGCCAATTAACATACAAGATATGCAATATGAAAAAGCGCCTAAAAGCAAACGCCGATAAAAAATCGTACCAACCATACATTGTACTTTTCGAATCGGCAAAGATTCTAATAGTCTACATCATGAGAATTTCGCCTAATCTTGAATTATTTTTAGTCCACTGCATATGCATATCAACACATGGTAAAAAATCGGCCAATTTAACCTTACTTTTCAAACGTGAGTCTGCTACTAAGGCACTAAGGTCCCTCCGAAATTTTGGAGCAAGTGCTCACCAGAGAGTATACTGGTGCTCACTCCAAAGAGTAAACACTTAACTTTATTCATTCCAATTCTGAGCATTTGCTCGCCAGTTGAGAGTATGCTCAGAGACTGAGCAATTGCTTACCCACTTTATTCATACGAAACTGAGTAGAATCTCGGAAACTCGGAGCAAAGAGTACTTGCTTACTTTTATTCATACCACCCAATGCATAATCGAAGTAGTAATGGCGCTGTTCAAATTTCAGTAGCTTCGCGCTGTTAGTTTTATTTTTTCAACTTATTGCTACCGCTTACGCAATAGAAAGTTATGTAATGCTGCGAGGAAAAGGCTATGTAATGTTGCGGCGAATTTTCGGCATAAAAACTCTTGACGGGCCCTGGTAATGAAAAGGTCAATAAATCCAGTTGCTGAATTTAGAAAAAAAATCCTCAAACACATAGTGTAGCCAGAATTCGTTTTGTGGGTTCTTGACATAGAAAAATTGATTGACTACAAGAAGTCAGTCTATGAACAACACGAGCGGCTAAACCGTCGAGCCTTATTTTATACGACGTGACTTGGGCCAGCAGTCCGCTCTTCCGTCTAACCACGCTTATTTCACTACGTTCCTTTCACAATCTAGCAGAAAAAGAAGATATCACTGTGATGACATCAGTCGATTTAAATTTAACTCAGAGGCTTCTTTTAGGCTTGAGGACATTTTACATGCAGTAAATCTACATGGGACAGACAGCTGTACTTTCCATCCGAAGGAAAGCATACAAAGGATTTTTTCACCCTCAAAACTTAAGACACAAATCTAAAGAGAACATCCCATCTTTCAGCAAAAATCATCCATTTTGTACGAAAATTGAGGAAGGTACAATAATTTTAAATTTGATCTATGTTTTCCAGTAGAGTATATTTATTTTATTGGAATGTAATGAGAAAATGTCCAAAGGTATGTGATATTCAAATATCTCTAGAGCTCTCAATGATGACTATGCTATGCAACTAAGTGCACCACGTCTATACACTTTGTTAAACAGAAATTGAGAATGCTGAAACCTGCCAACAATGATGAATTGTTTCTGGCTTCAAATAACTTTGGTGGTAGTTTAAATAAAATATTCTTTACACTTTTCAAAATTTTACCAATGTCATTGACCACCACTGGGAATTTTTACCTAACCACCTTCATTAAGGACCTGGCTAATTGTAAAAGATTTCGTTTCTATGAGAAATGAGCTAAATGTCACAGGAAATGATAAACATGTTTTTCACTTTTAATCTCATCAAAAAGCAGACACTTCCAGCCACACCTTTCCTACTGTAAAAAAAAAATAAATAAAAAAAAATAAAAAATAAAAAATAAAAAAAAAAAGTGTCTACTCCAAAACAACACCGACATTATGAATCCAATGTGATTACATATAAGTGGAAGAAACATGGTTGGGTTGCTTTATTCAAATTTTAAATTGCTTCCTTTACTTCCTAATTTTCAGGAAAATGTGTATGTAAGGGTGAGTTTTGTGAAAAATTATGGGTTACACAAAAAAGAGAATGTGATGAATTATATTTGTGAGCTTTATTGTATTTCTTGATAGGATTGAATCATTCACATGTATATTTGTTGCTATACAATTTTTTAAAAAAATAATAAAACAATTACCCACATAGCTAATATTTTGGAAGTTACAATAGTTAGATTAAAAACTGAGTAGTCTTCAGCAGGTGATACCATCTGAGAGATCCTATACATTAGTTTCCCGTCTGATAAAGTCATTATTTCTTTTATTTTTCATTGAACACACTTAAAATATTTTTATTTTAAGAGAGAGTAATGAAATTTTTTCATGAATTGTTTACAAAAACAATGACAATAAGTCTTCAATTTAATGTCAGTTTATAAACCACATTTTCTTTAATACTCTTGCACCAATATTTGACTTATATTAAAATCCTATTCTTTCCATTATTCATGCTTCTACCTCCAGACTCTTCTATAAACCTACTAGAAACTCATGGATGTTCAAGAAATGGGTGCAAATTATTTGTTCTTCATCATCTTTTAACAGAAGTCACTGCCTTCCGAACTTCATCTTGTAAGACTACTCTCTTTATGAAAAACTTCCCACGAAATATGATCCTTTGATTAGCCATTTCCTTTTCGAACACTTTTAGACTTATTGTGCCAAATTAAATAAAAAATGTTTAAATAAAAAAAATGCCTCTCTTACATACTTAAATTTTCTCTTTCCTAGGAAAGATTAATATTTAATATATTTTAAAATAATGTATTTTCACAATTGGTATTTGCCTATTATAGTACAACCCCGCTTTTACATTCCCGGAATTTATGTTTACCTGCAGTTTGCACTGATTTTTCCCAGTCCATTCAATTTTCCTAGGTTCATAATCTTAAATTATCTCCACCTTTACACTTTCGAAATTAAATTTTTCCTGCCATTTGCACTTTTTAAAGCCATCACAGATCTGTGAACGCCATTCTTTTTCATGATATTTTTGCTTTCTCTTGCACAGGATTTATCTCATTGGCTACAAATTTTGGCCTAGTTTGAACTTTATTTGCTCTCCTCGCTATAGCATTGAGACAAGTATCGAAACCAAGTTTAGTAATGTGTTGGGTATCACACTTTTGTGCTATTTTAAGAAAGTTTTAATTTCAATAAACTGTTATTTTACCACATAACGGATTTAAAAAGAAAGAGAATGGGTTTTTCCATTCAAGAAAAATCCAAAATTCTAGAAGAAGTTGAAGTCTAGAAAGGGACACATGTTGCGTTAGCTAAAAGGTTGGGGATATCGGTATCTCCTCTTAACATGATAGTAAAAAACAACGACTGAATAATTAAAAGTGTAAATGAAAGTGGACATTTTTGCAACAAGAGGAAGTATACCAGCTATTTGAAGTATGTAGAATTGGAGGAAATTTGGAAAATTGGTTCCACACAGCACATGCTTTGAACATTCCCATGAGTGGCATGTTGTTATGTGAAAAAGCCCTGGGCGTGGCAGATAAGCTTTCCATTGAAAACTTCAAAGCATCTAATGGCTGGCTTGATCAATTCAAAAAAGCTCAACAATAGTGTGGAGAAGGAAATGCTGTGCCAAAAGAAAGTGTTCAGGAATGGCAAGAGGAGAAACTGATGGACATTGTGAAGATGTATTCACCTTAGGAAATCTTCAACATAGATGAAACTGGTCTCTTTTTTGTGTTCTTCTGAACAAAACATTCACTTTTAAAGGCGAGAATTGCCATGGAGGCAAAAACAGGCTTTCTGCAATGATGGGAGTGAATGCTGACGACTCTGAATAGCTTCGCCCATTTGTTATAGGAAAGCCCAAGGAACCTCAATACTTGAAAAATGTGAAAACATTGCTCGTGAAAACTGAGGAAAATAAAAAAGCTTGGATGCTTTCAAAACCTACTACAGAGAAAACATGGTGCTGAGAATATTAGGGTTGATAGAGAAAAGGAAAGACACAATGATATTTAAAATATCTATCCTTAATGCACAACATTACACTGCACAGGCATGGAAAGATGTAAATCAATCCACTATTTATGTCAGCTTTACAAAGCTGTCTTCTTCCAAACACATGAGGAAGAAGTGAAGAAGGGAGAGAGGAAGAAGAAGATAGTGATCTTATATCTCCATGAGAGAAGTTGCAAATGTATTACAAAGTTAATGACTTCCTGCATTTTGATGACGAACTTACGACTGTGCAGTGTTAGTAGAAGTTATGATTGATTCATTTTGGGGAGAAATAGACAGTGAAAGAAGTGATAGTGACTTTGATGTTGATGACAATGATGGTGATAGTGTGCCAACTTGTGCAGAAGTAGTTTGTGCAATAAACACGATAAAAAAATACATTTTTGCAGCTGATGGTGACTTTAATAGGTTTGGTCATGTATATGAACTTGAAGAAAAATTGAAAGACTTCACCAGAAGAAGGCTAAATGGTCAACAATATTAGATTTTTTTAAAAAATACTAGAATTCTTGTAATTTAAAGTAGAAAACATAAGATGAACAAAAAATACTTACTAATTGTTAATACTAATAATAAAAGTGGACTGTATATTTTCAGTATTTTATTATATATGCAAAAGGGTTTTCCGCTTACACTTTCGCGTATTTTACACCATTTTTTCTTGGTCCCTTGAAAAATGTAAAAGAGAGGCTCTACTGTACAAACAAACTTGAGGATTGAGAGTGAATAGAAATTTTCATGGATTTACAATAATTCAATTTGGGCAAGTTTTTATAGTTACTTGGTCATGTTTGACGTTATCTTATGCTACATAAATTTCCGCTTCACTCACATACTTTTTACTTACTGTAAACACCTGATTTCATTATTTGAGTCAATGACAATAATCACCCCTCAAAAAAGTTACAAGATAGAAGGCTTGACATTGCACACATAATTTTCTAGGTTCCTGTCAAAACTAGACTTCTCATGGCACCTTTCTTTCTATCTCTTGGTTGTCAAGAGGATCCTTTTGCCTTTTCCATGGTTTGCAATCATGTCTGAAAATAGCATTTCTTTACTTGTTATGGTTGGGACTTGATCATTTCATTATCTGCTTCTCTCATTACATTTGTACATATAAGCACTGACATTCTAAAATATTCTTATGGCACATTAACCTATGCCATGCCAGTTTGAATTATCTTAATTAAAGAATTAATATTGTTAGTCTTCAGTGCAGAACGACAAAGATTAACCACAGCTGTCTTATGTTTCCCCACTGTAATAAAATTAACATTTATTAAGCATTTTATTACATAATAAAATCAAATGTAAAAACAAACTGTTTTATATAATATATTATTTTATCTATATAATGTATAGTTCTATCTATTATGGACACATCCTCACTTTCTAAATGGTTCAAATTATGGAAACATAGATAAAAGAAAATAAAAGTAAATTTGTCATTTAATTTTTTGGAAAATTACCATTTTAGTACTGATAATGCTAAAAAGCAAGCATTTTGGAATATCAAAACTTACTGGGCAGCTAGTGCAGGAAACGTTGGGGCATTGAGCCTAAAGCTGTGAATGCAAATCCCACTAAAGGCATGGATGTTTTCACCTTACATATATGTTCATCTCATGAAGGCGTTTTCACAGCCCCATGTTTCATATCACCAACATTTATTTCATTATCTCCCACCCCAGTATATCATGGAAAGTATTTTGGATTTTGAGGAGAAGGAAGATTTACTCATTCGTTCATTCATCAACCATTCACTCCCTCAACATTCATCCATCCATTTTTTTTCTGTTGTGCCTTTATTGCAACAACTCGCCTTCTTTTAGGCATCGAGCGAATATGGAGTAATCCTTTGTTAAACCATGTCCTGTCTTGTAGCGTTACAGTTAGTCATTGTCTTTTATCAGTTCAGACAGAGGCTAAACACCGATAGTAACCTGGCTTCCCAGATGGTCTCCCATCCAGGAATCCGTGATACATCAAATTGATTAACTCCTGTGATATCACAGAGCGTAGTTAAGCAAATACACTATTTATAAAACACCTTGAAGACTGGCAACAAGCAGCATAATTTTTATTACAGAACTGCACTTCCAAAAGATACAGTTCTATTAATACTTAAGTGAATCCACAATGAACATAAAACAAAAATTACCATACTGCATAAAACTCCCTTCATTACTATTGCACAATTAAGACTACATCTTAATAAATTGAACCATTTACAAGATATTGGAATGTCTGTGTTTGAAGAGATTTGTAGGTAATGTAAGTTTACATTTCATAATTAACTACTAAAATATCACTGAATTATTAAAATAACATTCAACTTAACTCTCAGATTTGCTGCTTTTTGTATAATTGTATTCACTTTCTTCAATGAGGTAAGTAATTCTTGATGATTAGTGCAACGAATTGTGTAGCCACGAATTAGATCAGCATTTATTTCATTCAGCTCCTCATAAAGTCTGTTCATCAGTTTCCTGCAAGACAAATTTTCAAAAAATAAATAATAAGAAACCTAGCAAATAATTACAATCAAACAAGTGTGACAAAATCACTAAAGAGTTGTGTATGTAATTAATTTTATGAATTATTTTAGTACATATTTGGATAATATTCTCAGATTATTAGTAAGCAATAACCTATGAATATAAAATAAATGTTTTGTAATAATTCATTTATTATTTCTTATTCTGACGGAATTAGTTTTCTATATTTCTTACATGATACACAGGGTGTAGCATGCAGGTACCATTCTGTGGAATGACTATTCATGTTAATGACTGCTGAATTATTGGAAATTGATGGAGATAGTTCTGAACTAAAATTTTAAGATAAGGAAGGCGGCCAGTCATGCCTCCTGGAATTGTGGGGTGAGAAATTCCAGTCATCATGAACAATGGAAAAATCATTGATGCTAAATGGTAGGTTCCAACATTGTGGGAGCCCGGGTAGTTTACAACGAATGTAAAGGTATGTGTTTCACTATTTTATAGAATTCAAATCTTCTGATAAAAATATTGTTATCTGGAACTGGGTGTGAGAACGATAAAAAAAGAGAATCTCTTGAACTATAAATTGAGGTAATTCCAAATTTTTTGTAACATACAATGAGTGAAACAGGCACTCAAATGTTAGGTTGCATGCACTTTTCAGAAAAATTCTAATTAAATTTAATTCTAATTTAAATTAAAAAAAAAAAAAAAAAAAAATGAATTTATCTAAATAAAAATGTATAAGTATAAATGTTTAATGAGTAGTATAAAGAAACATTCTTTGACTTTATTAATGTCTATAATCATACATGTCTGATTTGACAAAGAATAACTCTTTTGCAGTCATGTGAAACATGGAGCACCACTGCTTCACACAGGAAAATTTAGAGGGCACCTACTCAGAGTAGCCCTTCAGCAGTTTTTTAACAGTTGTTAAGCAATACATTCACATATATTTAAGCCAACTTCTCTTACTACTTTGTGATACTCATAGCAATAATTGAAATGTATTATGCTCATTTCGTAAAACCTTTTCAATAAACTCAATGAATCACATAATTCTCAAGAACATATTTAGAAACGAAATTATATTGCAATGAACATTAGTTTAAAAAAAATCAAAGTGTGTTTTAAATCATTTCAAAGTAAAAAATCTCTATGCATAAAATGACATTAAATCCTTACATATCTCCCAGGTGTCTTGCATCTTCAGCACGCATGACCAAGTTTCGAATCAGGCCAGAATGATCAGCAATTTCTGCACCCAATCGTTGGCGTACTTCCTGTAATGCTGTAATTTGTTGCAATAGTGCTGCCAATTCTTGCTGATCGGCAGGAAAATCTGCAGTGACCTAAAATATTATTACAACACCAAAAAAAATTAAAAATTTACGAATGCAAATAATTTTTTTAATTTTATTTATAGAGATTCTAGCTATCTTCTGGTTATGAGCAAAGCATGACATTTGCTTGTTCTAAGACACCCCCTCCACTAAGTGTCATTAACCTATCAAGAAAGAAAAGGGCAATGAAGTTTGTAGGAAAAGAGATGCATGAAGTAAACAAAAAAAGCCAGATTTACACATATTCATCACAGAAGTTGCACACAAATCAACAATGTTTGTGTGGTCCCATTTAGAGGCTCTATGAAGTGAAGAAAGTGGTTTACTGTCACATAAATGATGTTATTTGATGAAAACAGTACTAAAATATTGTGCCCAGTAAGGTGTGCAGTAAAAAATAATAGTTTTCAGCGAGCGGCCACTATGATCTGCCTTTCTACAGGACTTCCCGTGTTAGTTTTCTGGCATGAAAATATTCCAAAGCAATAATTTGTAGTTTAAGTAGTGAGGCTCATTGCAGAAAAAGGGCACTGAATTTCTGACAGAAAAAGATTTAGTTTCCCCACCCAGTCAACAGTATTGTGTTCTGATGACACAATGCCAATAGCTGCATTAAAGTGAACCTCTGCATCTTCACAACGTAATTAAGCACAAACCGAAAAGTAAAACCAGAAAAAAATAACGTGCACACTAACTAATGTGGCGACACAACAATTGAATTTCTCGGTTGGTATCTACTACAGCATATCAGCTACAGATTTTGCTTAATCATGCTTATCATGCCCCTCATGATACAATTGAATTTCTGTCATGAGAATATGGAGAATGATTATTTGAATAACTATTTCCCCCTGAACTCCGGAATACATGCACAGATAGTGAAGCTACGTTTATGTCCAGAAGCAAAATAAGAGGCCTCTCTGCGTTTGCTCAATGCATCAGGGACACCGGGCAAAAACACCTTTTGAGATACGGGTTATTGACCCAGAAGCTGAGATAGAGTCCTTGTTACAGGTATATTCAGTCTCTTAGAATTTTAAAGTACTAATATTAACATCATTATTCAAATAAAAATTATTTTCCTTTTTGATGCTTAATTTTAATGATAATTGTATATTTTATGCATATACTACGTGAGCATACTTCCTGACTGCAGAGGGAAAATATGCATTGGCACTGACATGCAGTCCCTACTGATTACTTCGTAAAGTTTATATAGAACTCTGTGTAAATTATCTATGGCATCTGCAATAAGCATTTCATCAGCAGCAGAAATTAAAGTTTTAATGAAATCGGTTTCTTTTAAATTACTTGTGATACTTCAAAGTTCATCTGTATACACAATTAAAGTGAGACTTAAATCACACATAGAATGTAATGCTGTATAAAGTGTACATACCTGTAATTCTTCTAAATTCAAAAACGTAGCCAAAGACTGAACTATTTCTCCAGCCAATCCCATGTCATGTGTTGAAACAATAACATGTCCACTAGCCTCCATGGAAATGTTCAATTCAGAGTTATCACGTAAAGAAATGAAAGCAACATTAAGATCTGAACTCACTTCCAGATCTGATAACAATAAGAAATTCTGGTTAATCCACATAGCAATCTGGAAATGGAAAAAAAGAAGGTTTAATGTAATTTGGAAAACTACTTTTAAATATATTTAGTACTAAAATTTTAAAACATATTTACATATATTTACTCAACATAAACTAAAACATTAACACAATAAAAACAATAAATAGACGTCTTTTAGGCAAAAATGCACACATGTCCAGGAGGTTTTTCGACAAGGCTCAATTGTGAAAGCTCTAATGCCCATCATAAATTCACAACAGTTTTTACCCTCACCTCAATTTTTGTATTATATCAATAAGAATAGTTTTTCTGAATTCTGCTAACAAGCATTGGGAATCTGAGCAAATTCATTCAGACATGCATAGATAACTGTTGGATTCTTCCATAAAAAAAATGCTAAATATTTTACAATATTTATCAATAATCTCACATAATGATGAGACATGGTATCTTCATCATTAGAATAAAGTTATCAAAGAACTTATGGAATTCAGTGTTCCTTGTGTTTATCTTTGCATTTGTTATTATTTACTCTGCCCTATGTTTCTTTGTGTATGAATGTTCTGTGACTTAACTTATTTTTAAACTGCTTAATAGTCATCATCTCTTAGCATGACCTCATCTTGTAAAACACCAGCTTCTACTATGATTTAAAGTATGTTTTAATAATGAAAGGTGAGTTTTTACACATTTTCTGTTTTTAATATCTTTGAATAATTACACACTTCTGTTAATTGTTTAACTTTCTTTTTAGTACTTGGTAAGGGGCATACAGTGCCTGAAACTAACACACTCTATTGCCAGCATTTTTATTACCGCAAGACTTAAAAAATGTACATATAATAACTGGGTATATTTTCAAGGAGATTAGTATATACTTGTCTTGTCAGTAAATAATGAAATGCAGGATCGAATATTGTGAAACAAAAGCTTGTTAATAAATAAGAGAGGGGAATACAGATCCTAGTTGGACACACTCAAAACATGTTTCACAGTTGATAAAGGTGTGTGCAATTGGAACTTGAAAAGTTCTTTTGGCAAAATATGCTTCAATCCATGTTAGTACAGCTCCTCTAATTCCAACATGATATAGTTTATGGAGTAAACACTTTATAGAAACTTTGTCTAAGACCATCAAGATGTCCAAAAAAAATTACATAAGTTGGAATTCCTTTTCTTCATTTCTGAAGTCCATGAATCAAGGCACTTGAGTAGATTAGTCATTATAGATCAATATTTTCAATGGGAGGAATAATGTTTCTCAAATGTGAAGTCTAATTCTCTCGATTAAATTTCTCTCCATTACCTTACAAGCGTTGCTAGTTAAACTTATAGCCGATGGAAGCAATTTATTACCCTTATTTCAACTGTAAAATGCAAAATATAATTATTTTAACAAAGCACCAAAATATTTATTTTCTACATTGAGGAATATAAAAGAAGTATCAGCAAAATCTGAGGTATCAAGGTCAATTTTCTAGAAAATTGCCCATTTCGCATGGAAAGTCTACGACATTTAATTCACCTATTGTGAATAGCAGCATATGATAATATTGAATACTGTTGTTATTGTTAATCAGAGATCATAGTCATTTCATAAAGTGGTAGAGCACATAGGATGCTGCAACACCGTCCTCCTTAACACCCTCCTATCAACCCCTTCTAATTTTATTTACACTTTAGTTTTTTAATATTTTTTATTCTGAATAAACTTCTACAAATATATTAAATCAACAAGAATAATCTTTACTGTTTAATTAATTTTCAATCTTTCATGTTCCAGTTCAGGATGACATACTGTAAGCAGCACATGAATATTTCTGTTGTTCAGATGTTCAGACTTTTAGTTTAGAATGGGTCAGCAATTATAAAATAATAATAATAATAATAATAATAATAATAATAATAATAATAATAATAATAATAATAATAACAATAAAAAATAGAAATGACAAGTTTTTTTTTATCGATAATCTCCTCAATGACTACAGCAAGGCAATTCTTACATCTATGCATTTTTAGTGAAACTATTGGTCTATGCACGTTAGCACTGTATGCAGAAATACAAAGAGATAATGGGCTACAGAAGCTCTACAGGAATCTTCAGTTTTGAAGATTCATAATATTTAGCCATTTTAAAAAACTTTTTTTACAAATTAAAATACATTGACTATAGGCATACACACGGAGAGGAGGGGTGCGTGCGAACATTTTGAAAGGGGGCCTCTTCATTCTACGTAATAAAACATTTTATTCATACAAATATGTACAATCTTAATTTACTTTTTATTTTACCTGACAATTTGGGGGATTGTGTTTGATTTATTTTATAATAAATGTAAATAAAGTTTAATGTCAAAGGGGCCCCAGAAATGTTCACATCCCTCTTTTTTAGGCGGTGCATGCCTATGACACTGATCCAGTTACCGCACTTACTGTATAAACTTATCGATTTTGAAAATTCTTCAGGGACGTTAATTGAATAATTGAAAATTTCATAAGAAGAAAAATTGGAATGTCTGTTTACTCTAAAACAAACAATACCTACAATGACAATAAAGTATTAATATTTGTAATACAAAGCAGACTTTGTGGACGAAGGGTCTATTATCCAACAGCTCTATGAAACTATGTGAGTTATTGATATTTGACTTCCTGGTTTCTGAGGAGGTCATTAGCCTGACTACCAGAATTAATAGTGTCTCTGTTTACAATACTGTGCCCAGAATACAAACGAAGATTTTCTATAAGAACACTTACCCTTTGAACTCGTTCATTCAATGTAAAAGCAACATAATTTGATGGTTTGTTAGATGGGGCAGAACAATGTGCAAACATTGAAAATCGAGGTAACTGGCGGGTCAATTCAAATACATGAAAATGCTGACTCCCTTCATAACCTACAAGAGCCTGTAAACACAAAAAACATTCACTAATATGCTAACATCATTAATAAATTAAAATAAAAGAAATGCATACAATTACAAAATTAATTGTTTTCAAGCTCGACTAATTTACCTTTATATGAATGTCAACAGGGACATCCTTTGGAGGATATAAAGCAACATTCAATTTTGATGAAATATCTCCATCCTTAGGATGTATTATATGTGTTTCTCCATCAAAGATTCCTTCAGCAAATACCATGACAGCTCGAATTATGGTATCATTGTTTGTTGACAAGGCAATTTCAACATGTGGCTGAAAGAAATAACAAATAACTGGTGAACAAATATAACGTAATTGTGACATGTTAACTCGCCAGAGCTCATGTTGGTCTATGCAATCCAGGAGGCATTAATGATAATGAATTTTCATAAAAAATGTCTCATCAAAATGAGAGCAGTACAGCAGATGGCTAATAGTGACTTGAGAACTAACAAAATATTTGGCCTTGAGAGCAGCTATTTATTAACAAATGATAATTTTTGCATGAAAAAATTCTCAACTATAGATTAAAGCTATTCATCTTTAAGCTTTAATAGACACATCTGTGATTATGTAAGCAGTCTTAATTTAAAAAAAAAAATAACATTATGAAAAGTACTCTAAAGTCTCTGAGTTGTCGGTGGCACATATTATTTCCTTATTCTGGAAATTTGTTACCCTAATTTTTTTTCCCATTTTCAATGTGATGGGATGGGAAATTGAAAGAATTCTAACTTTCCCAAAATAATGATCACTCTAATAGACGTAAAGATATGGTATACTTGGATCTGACAGACCCAACCTGTGCAGTGTTCACTCAGTGAAATTTTCCCACCCTGCACAGGCATATTAATGTAGTAATATTTGCTAATGTAACTCATTATAAGATAATGATAGATTAAGATAATGATAATGATAATGACAAAATCAAAGGGAGTGACTCTACATTTATAAATATGCAGAAAAAACTGAAATAGCTTACCAATTTCTTTTCATCTCCCATATTCACTGAAATACCTGTCTGAAGATGAGTTTTTGACTGTAAAATAAAAAATCGAATTACGAGTCAGCAAGTAAAGAAAAAGTAAGTACATACTTTAAGCAATTACAATGTGTTAATAAAATAGAGAAGCAACACCATGTAAAATTGCAAAACTTCTGAAAAAACTTTGGTCAAATTAAGGATAAAAACTAATTAAGGACATAAACAAATTGAAAACGCATTGTTGACACTGCACATTTCATTATGTTTCAAGAAGAATATTTGATCCAACTAATGTTCCTGTAAGTTGACTATCAACAGACAACAAGTTTTGAAGACATTGTCTGTATACAATTTTTTTTTTTTTTTGACATTAATAATATCTTTTTGAAACTCATGCATGAACAGTGCAAAACTATTCATAATTTGAAAAAATAGTCAATGTTATTTGTTTTCCTATATAAAGAATAATCAACAATTACTCCTTATCAAATAACTTTGCTATTGGGAAACATTCATTACCATCTTCTACATCTACATCATGTCTGAGATAAGGTATTATTGACACCTTGAAAAATAGATTTAATCACCAAGAATACATCAATCAAATGAATATCAATAAAGACATCCACAACAAATTGCTGACTTCCTGTCAAAAATTTTCCACAACAAAGCGGGTAGCGAAATAAGATGAGCGAATCTGCCCTCCCCTCGGCAAAAGAAAAAAAGAAAAGCTTCCCCACGGATTTAAATCAATTTACCCTACGTACTACGTACAATTGAAAATAACATATCTTTTAGCTTCTTATATAGGGTTAATTTTGTTTAACTACAGTAAAAAAAAAAATGTTTTATGTATACTGAGCTGTTGGGTGCAAATTATAAGATAAAAGGTTGAAATTTTGGGAAACTAGAAAATTTACAGGGATACAATTTGTATTTAGTCCTTTTTATGATCTGCCTCAGAACATGGGAAATTTATAATAAAAGAAGGAAAGAAGTATTTTAAAAAAAAAATATTTTCCTTTTCTCTTTTTTTTTTTTTTGGATTGATATGGTCAAAATCAGGTATAAATACCTGAAAAGATTCTCGAAACATCTTTATCATCTATAGAAAATTGCAAGGATAATTTAAAGAAATATTCATAGGCGTAGTAATGTGGTTTAAAAAAGTTGAAACTTGTATAAGAAGCTAAAAGACACTTTTTCTCATTTGTACAAAGTACTCAGATTAATTGATTTAAATCCGACGAAAAACTTCTTGCTTTTTTTAACTCTTCACTTACAATTTTCAACATAAAAATTTTTATCCCTAGGAGCATATTTGGATATCATATTCTGCTATCCCCTTTGACCCCAATACAATTACCCTCTAATACCAACATCTTTAAAGAATAATACTTTTAAAAAGTGCAGTTTGGAAAATTAAGAGCACTTACAATACTTCATTCTTGATTTCTGGAAGTAAAAAAAAAAATGTTTTTCAGTTATCTATATTACAGGAAGTTGAAGAATGTAAGGAAAAATCTCATCATGGGCATGCTGACAAACACTTGTGCATCATAAAAGTCAAGCAAACGCAAAGCAGAAAATTACAAATTGACAATAAGCAAAGTATGCTACTTTCACGGAGGTACATATCACAAATACTGTAACATTCAAGGCTGCCTTAACAGCATTAGAGGTCTTGAGCAAAGCAACACATTGAGCCTCTATCCATTTTTACTGTTGTAAAGTTTACCAGTTTTACTAATTTAGAGAAAGTATTGCAATGTACCAAAAAATCGATCTTGTGATTATGGTAGAAATGCATAATTTGAAGGTCTTTGATACCGAAAAAGTTTGTAATTCTTTTAATTCAAAATATTAGTCAGTCTGTAAACTACACTTCTCCCTAAATCATACACAGGATATTCACTGATGTTGTTATTCTCCACTTGATCTGGCTAATGTTGCGGCCCTTTTAAATTGAAATGGATTTTTAAATTATTGGGGGAACTTTACATGAAGAATAGAACATTTTCAAAATTTTTTCACACATTTTTTGCTCAAATAGAGCGAAGTATTATAAAATTGGCACAGATACGATTTTCAGCAAACTGTTGAAATTTCAAAAATTGCGAAAGTTAAACTTTATTTGAACCCCCTTGTACAACTACAATATTACAGATATGAGATTTTCAGATGCTCACGTACACAAAATTTCTGGGTAGAATATTCTCTATTGATTAGACTAACATCAATATCTTTTCAAGATCTTTTTTTCGATGTTCACTGCACAAACCAGTACAAACATTTCTGTTTCACTGCGCGAGATGATTTTTTATAGTTTTAATCTAGAAAATAAAATTCCTCCGGTGCAATTAGTAACCTCATGCTCATGAATATTTTGAGTGCATTGGGGAATATGGACCTGAAATTGTTAGCAGCTGGTATTTTTATTATAAGTGCAAGACTAGCAACCTTTCTAACTACACAAGCTTGAGAAGAGCCCTTTTCTTACATGAAATGAAAAATAATAATTAAACTGTATTTATCTGAGCAGTTTTTAGACTATTCTGGAGGGAAGGAAAAAAATCCACACACAACTGAAGAACCTCAGGGTTCTTAAGACTGTGGCCCCTGGTGACTACCCTCACAGTGAAACCTGGCTTAAGTGGTCGCAAATGGTCCCATCAAAAATTGGCCTTTAAGAGATGGCCATTAAATCAAGGTTTTGAAGTTACAGGAAGAAAGTTCAGGTGTAATCATGTTAATTACTGTAAAATAATGTATGTTTTTGGTAAAATAATTTGAATTATGTTAAACTACAACATAAGCATCAAACTACACTTGAATTGTAAGACACAGGAAAACATTTTAAATGTATTTCTCTTTCACCAATGTATAATTACTAACGAGCACATAATGGGTCATTTAGCCACATGTAATACACTTTTACTTTACATGACCACCTGTAACATTTTCACATATTTTCAAATTGTTTATATGAGTCCAGTCAATTGGTGCTCAAAAAGGCTATATCCAGGAAAATATTCCCGATGTTTTTATTTTCAACGGTTCTACATGTTTTTGAGGGTGCTAAATTTGAATTTGATGTTTGTCACCTCAAAAAAGGTAGGCTTTACAGAGAAAATTGCAAAAAACCCTCAAAATTTCACCCTGTTTTTAGTTTTTTGCTTATATCTTGAAAACAATGTGTTTTATCAAAACAATTGTTATATGATAAATTGAAGTACACAGAATGTTCTACAAAATGCATACTTTCACATAAAATTTCTGATAAATTGTTTGGGTACTAGAGCACGCTGAAAACAATTACTTTTTGGATTCCTGGCCAAAGTGGAAGAATAGCTCTTTCCAACCATTCTCTCTCAGGGTGGCACACTCATTTCACTTTATCATACATGAAAACAACTATTGTGAACAAATATTTGGCATTGTTAAATGATTAGCACTCTGATACTCATATAATAAGTAGGAATGTTTTTGCTCACACAGCGTATCTGTTAATCTTTGAAACATACAACTTAAGGTACACATGTTTTAACTATTTTTGGATGTGGAAGAAAACCACTTTCAATCACCTTCATCAATTCTTCAATGATATTCCTCTTCACTGTTTCCATGTAAACTAAAAATACTTTGCATCACTGATTCTACATCACCTCTCCATGGCCTGACTACGTTTTGTGTTCCAGTCTTCTTGCCAACTGGAACTGAGACTGATGCAGTGCTTTCATGCATACCAGCAGCTAGCAAGTCATTTACTGCCTCTAAACAATATACTATAGAATGACAAAAATAATCATTACAATTTCTTGTGAGTCATAAACAGTTTCTCTTCCTCACAGGGTACACTATATTTCATTTTGCTCTTTGATTTGTTTCTTTGCAAAGTTTCCACAAATAAAACAATGAGTTTTGTAAACAAAGTCAGGTGTATATGAAGGTAGATGAGGTGAGTCAGATTCTTCATGACCTCTTTTCACATAAGCAAAATCAATTTTTCTTTCCATGTTGCCTCCTATACTTACAGTGGATTTCAATTTGTGAGTTACATTTAAATGAAAAACTTACCATCCTGTCACCTCTCTTTGGCTTCAACGAAATATTCCAACATCCTTTCCTTCACAAAAGTTATGTGTGTTCCATCTTTCAGTGTTTTATCACAAATATCGCATGACATTATGCACACGTAATTAAAAATGGAAATATTACAGGTTCACATTAGTTTACAATGAGTTCGTGATGTGGCAAACCAACTTAATATTGACTGCCGAACCTGCGCCAGTGGGTAAGGCCAAGTTATCGCTGAAGAGTAGCTCACACACTGGTGCGTATTATAGGGTGATACAAGTATTTCAGGTACAGTCACAATAATCTTAGTTATCTCTATCGCTGTCATGGTCTTGGGAATTATATACTACATCGCTGTCAGTGATTAGCAGTAGTCTAATTGTGTGCAGATCAAATAATGTGGTGGTAACAGAACTATCTTTAGAATTTCAGCAGGAGATGAGATAGCAGGAAAATAGAGAGCAGAAGATATTTTGTGCAAGAACTGGAGGTATCGCATTTCACTAAATATCATTCTCGCTCGGATCAGGTGTCTTTTTCCATTGCAACGTTACATCTGGAGTCAGACTCTATGCACATCTGTCAATGTAGCCCATCTCTACTCACTCTATGGTAGAGCTTTTAAAGAATACGATTTATCATTGTTTTCTCCATAGACAATTACATAATTATCGGCAAATCACTGACATGGATACCTTGTTTCCACATCAATGACTAGTGATGACATAACTAATATTCAATGGGAAAGCAAAAAACACATTTTTAATAACAGACCATACATTGACAATTGGATATAATCTGGGTTGCCCACTGATTCCTTACCTTCGTTTTATTCTAAAAAGACACTATTTAATTTTTTTAACCTGAAGTTTGCATTTCCAAACATCTATGTAATCTGGTTCAATATTTTTGTTTAATAACTGAAATTTCCTCATTAGTGTTATTCTTACATTTACTCATAATTTGGCATATATTGACAAAACATGTTGATATAAATTTTTGATGAATATATTGTATTGCACAGAATGTATTGTCGTAATATTTTTTTTCTTTTCTTTAATGTCTCTAATTTTGGTTATCTAGGGCTTGGATAAACAGATACTCTGTGTGAGCAAATACGTTCCTACTTATTATGAGTATCAAAGTGTTAATTATTTAACAATGCCAAGTGATCACAACAGTTGTTTTTCAGTATGAAAAAGTGAAACGAGTGCGCTGCCTCGAGATAGGATGACTGGAAATAGCTATTCTCCCGCTATGGTCAGAAGCCCAAAACAAAACCATTTTCAACACGCTCTAGCGCTTAAACCGTTGGTCAGGAATTTAAGGTAAAATTATGCATTTTGAAGGACATTTTATTTGCTTTAATTTTCCATAGAACAACTGTTTCAATAAAACATAGTTTTAAATATATAAGCAAAAAATGAAAATCAGGACACAATTTTGAGGGCATTTTATTGCAGTTTTCTCAGTGAAGCCGGCCTTTTTTGAGATGGTAAACATCCAATTCGAATTCAACACCCTCAAAAACATATAGAACCTTGGGAGAAAACTTCAGGAATTTTTTCCTGGGTCAGATAGGGACTATATATGATTAATGGTATTATACTGTCTTTGACAGAGTCCTGTCATCAGATATATTACAGAGCCATGTTCTCTACTACAGGACGCTTTATTATTTGGAATATAATAATGAGTCACTTAATCTACTCAGAAGGTGTAAGTAAACAGCACATAAATAAAATTATATAAGAATTTTTTTTAAATCAAGAAACAGCTCCTTTGTTCCCATAAAAGTTATTCAATACTTTTGCTTACCTATGGAAGAGATTTTTCTCTCCCACTTTCTCATCATTCTATTTCTTCTCTTGAAACATCCAAGAAATTTTCTTCGTCATTAATTTTTGCTACAATGTAGGTATACACTAGCCAAAACTGAAATAATAGTGACAAGTATAAGTGCTTGTGAGTGCTGGTGGCTAAAACCTAATACACTGGGCGTGCTCAATCAGGTGCATTGAGGTGGAAAGATGTGGAAACAAACAAATGTTTAAAGAAAAGTTTATTAAGTTCTTAAAAGCATTAAAAAGAACAGCCCTATGTATAGGTAAAGTAAAATGCTCTAAACTAATGATACATGTTAGAACTGAGAAATTTGAAATTTGAAAAATTCTGGACTATAATAACTATAAATTTTTAGGTTTTATTTAGTTAGTATTCTCTTAAAAATATCTGTAGCAACCAAAAAGGACCTTCAACTCAAACATGGATAATAGTCTTCCAAACAATAAATGGCAATAAAAGGTATTAACTATATTGATAGAAATTCATTTGTGACAATCATCTACATTTGTGACAATCATCTACAACCTTTTATCCACCAGTATTTCAATTCAATGCCTCCTTTCTTAGCCCATGACACAAGTGCATTTATATTGCTTTTGCTGCATTAGAATTTTAAATACTTACTGGAATTACCCCCACTTGCACATTCATTTGTGCCAACTGCTCAGCTACCTCTTCACTTCCAGCACCAGAGAACTGAGAATTGGCTTCATAGTTTCTCAATTCCAGTAATAATGCTTGTTTCTTGGAGAACAGTTCACGAATTGTATCTTGCTCCACATTTACATCAATAAGACCAGATGCTGCACTTCGTACTCCGGTTTGCCTTGTTAAATTGTAACCTCGCACTGCAAATACGCAAGTAATTAAGTTCAACTTAAATGATATTTAAAAGAACTTTATAAACAAAATCCTACTGCAAACATTTTGTGTGAAATCATTGTCAACATCATCACAATAGGCAACCAAATAAATGGAAATCATTGATACTATGTAAAGTTCACATATGGCCATCAATTTTTTGTTAATGAGAAGAGTCACTTTGACCATTTGAAGGTAAGCTTTTATATCAATTTCAAACTAATAAATAGCAAATTTCAACACACTATAGCTATTTGATTACAGAAAACATTATTTCACACACCTTCTCCTTCCACAGAACTGCATAACAGGTCTGTTTTTCCAGTAAACCTGTAATCTCCTTCTACAATTCCTGCCACAGCATGATTTAAATTGTCTTTAAAAATAACTTCCCCAGTCCGGCTATTTCTTGCATCAATTTTACCATTAGACCAGCCAGTAATGAGCTCTTCAACTCCATCTCCATCAAGGTCATAACTGTGTATAGCTACTGCACGATTCTTTGACTACAATAAAATAAAATCTGTATTAGATCATAAAAAAGTGAATAGCAATTCTTCTGTATGAAATGTATTGTAAACTGCATACTACATTATACACATAGGCAAAATGAATCTTCTTAACTGAATTTTGAATCTAAAATGTTTAAATCATTTTTATTTATATTGACAATAAAATTTAAACACATAATACGTGGAATATATAACTGATACCTTCGATAAAGTACAATAACTTATAATAAATCTTATTTGAGGCATTTTCTATCAAAACCTGTTCATTCCATTTGCGCAATTTTACAAGAGAGGTAAAAATCTTCTTGCGTTCAAATCCGGTTTGATACAAATAAGAGATGTTCTCACTACATTTCATTTGCAATTAATTTTTATCGATCTACATCCATACATGAGGTTATGAAAAACCCCTTAAAATTCACAATAATATAAGTGAATTTTGGTAAATAATGAAAAGAACTGATGTTGATAGAAGCAACTCATTTATTTTTTTTGTTTTTGTATTTGAAATGTCTACAAAATGTATTTTGTGGTTATTAAATACACTCTGAAACTGCTGAGTAGATGTATATATCTACTACTAGAGTGCTGAATAGATGCCAATATGTGAAGTGATCATTAGATATGAAGAAACTGTAGGTAACTATCAAAATATCGTAAGTTTACAATTGTTCACAGATTTCTGACATATGTTGTCTACATTTGGAATTAACAAATCATTGGGAAGTTACCCTATGTTGAAGGGTTGGAGACACAACTTATCCCACACATTGAGCAACTTCAGTGCACCATATTTTACAAATCATGTATAAAGCTGGACACTCAGTGACATCTCCAGCCTTCAATCCATCTAGATAATATATGTGTGCACAATAGTGAGTATGAATAAGTTAAAGAAATATATCAGAAAAGCAACTGGAAAAATGCTAGAATAACCAGCTGCCTCATGTTTTATCAATAGAGTCAGTAGTTATTTTGAACACTATTTATGTTAATATTGAACTTTGATCATAAAACCTGAAATTATTTTAGATTAACAATAAAACTTTTCCACGGCTAAACCTACACGTATGTATTCTATGTAAAACCTATAGATGAATTTTCAGATAAATTTATTGTGGTGAACTGCCAAGAAACCTATCACATTTTCTAAAATCTACAAAGTCCACATTCATGAAATACAAACCTTTACTCGCCACAATCTCTGAAATTTCTCATAAACACCAACAGTTCCATTAGCCAAACCATATCCAAACTTACTTCCACGAAAAGCAACCAAAGAAGTAACAGCTTCAGTTTCTGTTTGTTCACTTATTATACAGTCTTCTTTAAAAACTCGCACTTCAAAATCTTCTGAGCCAACTATTAACTAAAAAAATAATAATGATAATAATATACATATATACACACACCATTTTGACAGTGGTTCTTTTCTTGATATACTAAAGACGTCCACAGTTATACCAGTTCAAAAAAGGAAATAAAAATATACCTAGCAATTACAGGCCTATTTCCCTCGTATCTACACTTTCAAAGGTACATGAAAGACTAATAGGATTTCAGATTATAGAGTACCTCAAATCAAATAATATGTAATCACAGGAACGGTATAGTTTTAGAAATACATTCCACATGCAATGTTTACAATTTTATTCAGAATTACCTTAAGGGCAAATTTAAAAAAAATATTTAACCCAAATTTATGATCTAATGAAAGCTTTTGACGCAGTACGACATAGGACCTTACTATTCAAGCTGGAGTTCATTTCCCCTGCTATTCATATTCGGAATTGGAGAATAATAGTTTTTAAAAGTCAATTAAAAATGTGCTGGTCCATAACTGTTTTTGTTTGAAGCATGGTCACAAGCATTCTTAAATTTTAATTACTAAGATGTGTACAAGAATTGTTATCATTAAGTCATGAAATATAAAATCAATTAATGTTCTGACTTATTGTATTTTTGTGCAATATTATTACAAATGTGCCATACAATTGTATTGTGCTATACTCCTGTTGTAGCGACTTTACTGTTCTGCTTAATTAAATTTATATGTAAATTCAACTGTTTAACTTCATAAAGTAAAGAAATTTATCATATGTAAAATTGAATACACTACTACACCAATACAAACAGTGCAGGTTTAGTTACTGGAATTACTGGTTAACAGGAATTAGGGCAGGAAAAATTCATGATTTTTTATTAAAATATCAACAAAAAAAAAACTAAATTTTTACTTAAATCATGATTTTTTTTTACTTAAATCATATTTTTAAAGTCAAAGAATCTAATTTTTGGATTTAAATCAGAATTTTTAAAAATTGTATTAGTTGTTTTATTTTAAACCAAAATCGTTAAGTGATTTATTTATCCTTAATTACTTTAAAAGCAGAAGCAGCTTAAAAGTTAATTAAAACATCAATTTTAAAATTTATCATTAAATTGTAGTAACTTTATTTACAAAAATAAAGATACTATATATTTGAGAAGTCTGGTGCAATACCACCCTAACCCACAAAATCTTTTAAACTTGATTACTCATAATTTTGTGCTCTTAAAACACTTCTCTTGCGTCCATATTTATTGAATAAGCTTGTGGCACCATCTACTGGCAGGATTTAGAAAAAAGGCATTCTTCATTCAAAGAAATTTCACCATTTTTATTGAACCGCCCTAATCAAAAAGTACTTATTGTTGAAAACAACTGAATTTGGCCAAAAACTTAAACAATGTTACACAGTTTTTGAAATATTAAATTCCATTTAATAGTTGTCCTGTTATCAAAAAACACAGGGTATATTGGTTGTTACTCGTGAACTTTCCCATTTAAAATGGAATTTTATCAATGTACACATAAAGAAAAATATTATTATTAAAATAGTAAGATTAACTATCGATTTCATTAGTTCTAACAATATTAATTTTCCATTTTTTATTAATAGTCATCATCTTTAAGATGTACTTTAAGTAACCTAAGTAAACATTTTAATACAAATCTAGAATTATGGCCACTGTCAAAGATTTAAACATGTTTTTCTCGAAACTAGCTCCATGTGTATTAGGGCGGTATTGCTGCTAAATTAGTTTTTATCTACAGACCATTAAATGATGGATAAAATATAATCGACCATCTAAGTTTATTAGTATATATCTCTATTACAAATTGTTTATTGTTCTTTGTTAAATAAGTTTGTTCATTTTTTAATATTATATTGTATTTTATTTTCTAAAAATAGTTCAATTATGTGAAAAAGTTTATAAGAAATATAATTTATTTTTTAATCAACTTTGTAATTGATTTAAGTATTTTTATCTGAATAATTTTTATTTTACAGATATTTAAAATACAAATCCATTTCCAAATATTACAAATAATAAATATTGATTTTGAAAAAATTATTTGATTTCAATAATTCCAGCATTAACAGGAATAAATAAATACTTCTATGAGAATATCTTATCTCTTGTATTCTAATATTATTCACAAACCTCATTGTCACCATCCTGATCGTAATCCAATAATGCGAGAGAGCACACATTATCACCCGTGACAGTCCAGAATGGATCATTGCCCTCGAAATCAAATCCCTGAATCGAGCAATTGCCTCCAACAATTGCCAGTGGTGTTTTAAATGACCCAAGCCTTCCAATAACAATTACATTGGCACCATCAGGTATCTAAAAACAATTTCAAAATAAATTTCAATACACACATGTTTTAGTCACTATGACACTAGGACCATAATACAAGGAAATCTCATGATCCTGTGTGTGCAGCTGAATGTTTTATAATATTATTGGTTTACAAACAAAACTCTTTATGTCACGAGTTAAAGTTTTGAAAAAATGTCATCTACTTTTTAGGAAAATAATGTGGGATATGTTTAATGCACTTCACAAAATAATTATGTTTTTTCAATAAAAATTGTGACTCAATCTTAAGTTTCATAAAATTCAGAAAAGAGAATCAGAAAATCCAAAACCTGAAACTCTTGACTTAATGTGTTTCATTTGTAAGACAATGATATTTAAAATATTAATATCGTCAATGAAATGTCTATTCAATTAGTTGAAAAGAAGCTAATTTACAACACACAACCCTATATAAATCCAAAATACTGCTGTGAACCATCATCCTCATTTTGTCAGAATACTGACAAGTTGAAATTGGAATACTTTAGAGCAAAAAGCCGAGAAGATACAAAATTTGCACATCAGTGCTTGGCAGATACATTGGATACCCTAAACGGGATTTTTTGAGATTGAAACTATTGCAGAAATAGGAAAATTTATTGTATCTTTGGGATACTCACTGATAAGGGGTTTATTTACTAGTGTCATCATTTTAACTTGAAACTCAATCATGTCTACTGCACATTTACACAAGCAGCAACAGAACCTGCACTCAGACCAATTTCGATTATAAATATATCTCATTTATTTAAAATTAGACTGTTACAATTCATCACTGATAAATCTTTAGAGAGATAGTTTAAAGTTGAGAAATGTTATTTTGGATTGAGGTGATCAATAGAATCTTACCTCTTTGTAAAATATATCTCTGTTGTTTTCAGCATCATAAGCCAAAACATTTGCAGGGGTTCCAACCACTAAACAATCTTTTTCATCTGCAAGATTTAACCTTCCAGCACACAAAGATGTAATTGTTTGATTTATATTCAATAACATTAATTCTTTGTTTTCATCATCTGATACAGAAGGACCCACTGCAGCACTTCGATGAGGACAATGGACCAATACCTACAAAAAATTAATTTTTAATGTATATTTTATTATTACATATTTATATGAGTTGAAGAAACTTCACAAAAATTATTTTATATATTGTAATAAATAAAAATATTTTATATTATTTAATAATTTACATTATTTAACATTTTATATTATTTAATATTTTATATTAAATAAATCAGAACTCTTTGTAAGTATTAATAATTACAATAACATGCTTAATATGTATTGATATTCCACAACTTAAATTGGGTACTGGTACAAATTTTGAAGATGATTTTCATAGTGAAACAAATCTCTGTGGTTTCAAAATGTAAACAGAAATATATGATGGGTGATGGTGAACAAAAAGTTTATTATAATGGCACATTTTCAAGGTACTTTTAAGTATTTAGTTCTTTTAATTACTGTAATGAAATAAAAATGAATGTTTCTTTATATGACTGTGTGAATTAAGAAGCAGTTGCTTTATTATGATGTCTATGTCTTTAAAGAAATAAGGAGCTAAATGAATATTATCTATCATATAAACACAACGGAAAACAATTCTTACAAGTAGTTGAACACTATTATTAAGATTATGATTGTTATTTTATGAGCTTTTAGTGAAGACTATTAAAAAGTGCCATATTTTGTTCAATTTTTTTAAGCGTATATTATAATGAATAATTTTATGCATAACTTTTAATAAAAATCAACATCTATAATACCAATTTCTAATGCGGGCAGAAATTGAAAGAAGACTATGAAATCTCTTGCCATGTGAGAGGCAAAACATGCCTGCTGTTATATAATGACTATTCATATGTTGCTTTATTGAACAGCATGTTGTCTTGGTATGTGAAGAACTGTTGTAGTGTATATATGCTACACATGGGATTGCATTATTCATAAAGACTATTTTATGCCAAATATTTAATTTATGGCAGTGTTATACAAGAGTTATGCATTACAACATTGTATTTGTTGTTCTTGAACAGCAAGCATGCAACTTTTTGGAAAACAATTTTGTTACAACTAGTTAGATATATTATAATTAAATTTTATTCATATTAAATTAAATTGGCATTTTTATTTGCTATATTAAATCAAATGTATTATATATAATTAGAAACTGAAAGGAAGAACAAGTTTTTTTCAAATTGTACAAGTTTCAATTAACTGCATTTTTTAAGTCAATGAAAGGGTAAGAATAAAATCTGAATACAGTAGGTGTTATATTATGATTTTAGGAATGATTTAATACATTGTTAAGAAACATATCTTGACTTAACATTCAGTTCTTTGATATGTATTATTCCCCAAAACATTTCATACATCATACTGCCCTGGGCACACTTTCTTTGGTCTTTATTTATTGATAATCAAAGCAATAGAATTGAAAAAAAATTCAGAATTTTTTGAAAACAAAGGGACTCAATCTCAAACAAAATTATTTGATAAATCTTGTGCCCATTGAATTGTATACAAGGTTGGAAACAGTAATACAGAGCTGAAAGAGGTTTTTTATTTTTATCCTAAAAGTTAAAACAATATGAATGAGAATAATTACAGTTACAGCATATAATTTCCATGGTAAATATTGCTCTTTCTTTAAACTTTTTTCTACTACTAATGGCTAATAGTCTCTACATAGACAATATACTAATATAAGAGTTTTGTTTTAAACTTACCTTATCAGCAGTTGTAGCTACTGTAAGACATGCATGAGATCCATCGTATTTTCCAATTGTTACCCGACCAGGCAAAATCTTGTGATTGAGATTGAGGGTGAACAATGGAGAAGCCATTACATAACGTTTCTTTCACTGTGTCTGAAAAAGATATTATATTATAGGAGGGATAAATGTACTGCAGAACATCCATGGAAATGTATTTAATAGCAAAATACAATTTTAAAAAATCACAACAAAGGTGACATAACTCATATGACAGATAATAGGATATAACACATACTGTTTAATAAAAATTTCATGTTTTTTACAAGTTAATATAATTTCTGAAAATTATATTATTGCCAAGACGTTTTAAAAATATTAAACATTTTTCTTGCTTTTCTTGACCATGGTATGTATTATTTTGCTGTACTGAACTTTTCATTCACTTAAATGAGTAACATTTCTGAAAAATATTTTCAATTCTGATCTAAGCAGTCATATAGTACCATATTGTTTACAAGTTGTAGCAAAAATACTCAATGAACAGGGAGGTTATTCCGCTTTTTCTTAACAAATTACCTAAATTCAAACTTTGGCATATTTACTGTTGTTACACATTTGTTTTTAATTATAAAAATTCATTATTTGTATAATCAAGATTTATTGCAACCGTAGAGGTAATAAGCAGAATTGCAATGTGTCTAACATTGAAAATAAAGCACAAGTCTCATCCAAGATAATAGGTTAGGATATATTTACTAAATTAATGTTTCGTTCGGACGTGTAGCTATCCTGTTTATGAATTATATATGGTCCATCAAAATGATGGATGTTATTAACACTGAGAAACATTACAAACGAAACAAACACGAATTTTTATACTGTGATTTCCCTTGTATGTTAATATATAATTACTAAATTAACAAAATATAACGATACCTCACCAAAACTTATTTACATTTACCTGGAAAATACAATTCCAATTCCTATTTTCTACCAAGTTTAGACAAACAAGTCACTGCAAATTAAACCGGGAAGGATTTGACATTGGTCGATTTATGTTAGAGTCGACTAATCGATCGATTACGTTCAATTAGATCAATGACTTGTATTCTAGCGGAATATTTGGATGCACAAAAGATAGCATCAAGTTTTAATTCGTAATATGTAATAAGGATAAAATGACACGTGACGTATTTCGTGGTTCGTGCGTGTACCGTGAAATTACCTACGGTAAATTCTTCTTCTGAGGCACCGAAGCAGTCAGATCGTGAGAAATAGAAACAATTCTCTATTTGCATTGTGTTTGTAAATACATTTTTATTTAAACAGTACGTGTTATATCCTGTTATCTGTCATATGAGTATATCCCCTTTGTTGAGTTATTTTTTTAAATTTTATTTTGCAATTAAATACATTTCCATGGATATTCTACTGGACATTTATCCCTCCTATAATGTAACATCTTTTTCAGACACAGTGAAAGACACGTTATGTACTGGCTTCTCCATTGTTTACCCTCAATCTCAATCACAAGATTTTGCCTGGTCGGGTAACAATTGGAAAATACGATAGATACGATGGACAAAGTAATCTTTTTGACATTTTCTTAATTTTTGGTTTCCTAATAGTAGAACGTAAATATTATTTTAAGAATATTAAAGAACAGTAAAGCCTCGTCGTAAATGGCAATTTTCTTTGAAAATTTTGAAGACGTTTTTGAAAAAATGGCGTTTAAGCACTACAGTAAATTCGAAATTTGAAGCACGTTTTCACAGACAATTTTTGAGTTTTCGAAAAACTTCATTTGAACTCAGTTGAAGCACTTCACCATATATACAATAGTGTTTACAAATTGCTGGAAATGTCCATATTGATGGCGTGAGAGAACTTCAAACAATTACATTCTACTCGTTATAAACCTTATTTTGCTTAATTGATTTGCGGTATAATATTACTACATTACCGTTACTAAGGGGCGATAAAGTATGTACTGTTTTAGCACTAGTTTAGAATAATATGTACAAAAACCAATGCGTTAAAAGTGCGGGAGTGTACAGATCCAACAGAAGTGAGAACAAGTTTGATTTTTTAAAATTAATATGCTATCAATGAATCAGTCTCACTAATGTTAGAGCTCACCGTTCTTCATCGTATTCCCAAGCACTTATCAATTGAATACATAAAGAGCTTTCAAATAGCGTAGCTTGCCTCTTGTTATACAAAAAGCCCGCTGAAGCATTTTAAGCCATTAGTAGTTTTCCATTAGAAGTTCCACATTTGAATAACAGAGGGCTCAGGCAGTTTATTCTCACACTTCTCATCAACTGCATACCACCAGTATTTCATACGGCTTAAACTAGAGCGCACTAGTAGTGAGGAACGGAAAGTGGAGAGGTCTGGTCCAGTCAATGCGAGAGAATGGGGTTTTCGAAAGGCTATTTATGTTATACTCATTTTACTTCATTATGTAATATTGGATAGCAATCATCTATTCAAATCGCATTCATAAGTAATAATAATAATAATAATAATAATGATAATAATAATAATAATAATAATAATAATAATAATAATAATAATAATAATAATAATAAAAATAATAATTCGTAAATGTTTTGCAATTTAAACTACATGTACCAGACGTATGATGTGGGGATAGTATTATCAAAATCATATTTATGATTTTAAAGTGCTCCAAAATATAGTGTGCACTTAACAATGCAATGCAATGTACCAAGAGATGAGAAAAATCACCTTGATATTATTTTACATTTAGAGCTTTGAGCAAAATAGTTTGGATATTATCTGGAAATGGCACTTAGTAAAATTCGTTGTAAGGTTTTTCTCATTAGTTATCTGCAACACGCCCTGCAGAAACGAGGTGATGCTCTGCATCTTGTCAAGTTTATCAATATTCAAGACGACTTGCTCATCACCACACATCAATATCAATTGTTCGTGGATCTTTCCACGTTCTTTGCAACTTATAAGACGTTTCTTTCATTTTTCAGGCACAGTGTAGACAACGCTAGGGAACCGAGCGGGGCTACAACAGTATGTATTTTCTTGCATTATTTGTAACGACTACGAAATACTATTCTATATGAACCTGAAAAATTGTTTCAAACCAGCATTTTTTTATCTGGGATTCGAGCCCAGCTTTTTACTTTCCCTTATATGTACGTATATACGTAGTATAGGGAAAGTTATGTAAAACTGGAAAAAATAGATTTCGAGATTTCAACGGAAATACACGTTTTGGGGACCCCTGATACCAAAAATGTGTTGTTTTTTTCAAAACGTCCGCCCGTCTCTCTCCGTCCAACTGTGAACACCACTAGCATCAAAGCCATACGTAGAATTTTTTTCCAAAATGGATATTCCCTGGTCAATCTGGCTCGAGTCAAGGCGCTGCGATTTTGGAAAACATTCTTCAAAATTTGGGGGTACTTTACATGAAGCTCCCCTCCGACATTTTTTCTTTAAAATTTTGGTAGGGATAGTGCTAAATGCACTCTGTAAGATGACACAAACGTCATATTGCTGTATTCTTTGTTTTCTCAAAATGTAATTTTTTAGTCTTGTCTCTCACGAAATTTGTTCACATCATTATATTTATGAGTTCATGTGCTTTAAATAACTATAATGTTATTTAAGTTTAAATATAAATATAACGTTTATATAAACATTATATTTATATTTAAATAAAGTTTCTCGAAAACACAAATGTTTACTGTGGAAACTAGCTCAAAATTCCGCATTTTCAGAAACGCTTAAACGCCATTTTCTCAAAAATGACTCCCAAACTTTTCGAACTGGTAGTGCTAATTGCACTCTTTAATATGACGTAAAGTTCATTTCGGAGTATTTTTTTCTTTTCAAAACTGAAACAAATGTACTTCACGATCTCTCACGGCGTTAATACGCACATTTCCAGCAATTTGTAAACACTATTGTATTTGTGAGTAAAAGTACTTCAAATGACGTCATATGAAATTTTTCGAAAACTCAAAAAATGTCTGGGAAAAAGAGTTACAAATTTCCAATTTACAGTAGCTCTTAAAAGCCATTCTCTTAAAAACGGCTCCAAATTCTTCAACAAAAATTGGCATTAGAACGAGGCTTTACTGTTCTTTAATATTTGTAAAATAATATGTCCGTTCTACAATTAGGAAACCGAAAAATTAAGAAAAGTTTAAAAAACAATGTACTTTGGGCGGCGGGAGATGTCAGCTGGCAAGAGTATGTGGCAAGTCCGAATAGTTAGCCGAGAGAAATGGAAATAGAAAACTAATACGGGAAAGTCTGTGCAATTCTGTCGCACCACTAGTTAGATTTAGCTTGCCATTCAAGTTAACTCTCCATTACCAGCCTTACGTACAGTTAAAAACTTCCTTCTCGACGCTTTAAAGTAACATTTGTGTTTAAAATCTTCAAAAACCCAAAGATTTTCATTGACATTATGTCAAGATAGGGTTTTAAAGAACGGTTTTCATTAAGAAAAAATATCCGTCTTCAATATTGTAATTGGAGGAAGGCGCCTAAAAAATGCAAACTTTTGTAGTTTTTGAAAATACAGTAAGCAATGAAAATGGGACCTGCGTCATTTTAAGCAGCGTTAATCATCTGCTGGGGAGGGGGAATTAAAGCCATTTTTCATAAATTGTAAAATTGAAAAAGTTTTTTGGGCATGTTTTTTCAACTACAGTACTGAAGATAGTTATTTTCCGTAGTAAAATCTGTTCTTCAAAGACATCTTAAAATAAGGTCGTGTACAAGTTTTCGAAAATATGAGTTGTTTTCGCGTAATTTTGTGTGAATTATAGACAATTGTTAGATAATTATTTTCTCAAAAATAACTCCAAATTATTATTTTTTACTAATTTTTCCTCGTATGTAGCAAAGAACGAACAAAAACCAGTGCTGGTTCCATGTTTGGCGAACTTTCTACTTCTGAAAATTAAAAAAAAATTGAAGATAGAGATTTGTGTTAAATGAAATTTATTCTAAAAAATGAAATCTTTCAAAAAGTCGTTTACAATAAAAAACATTTTATAAAAAAAGAGTTCATTTTTTTTCTTTAAATGATTCCACAAAGAGAGCAAAGAAGGCTTTAAATATGGCTCAAGCCTTATTTTTGTTGAACTCGTATGAATGTTCTCAAATTGCATAACTAAGAAATAATGCGACGAAATATGTTCTGTTGCAGCTCCACTAGTTACTAGTTGTAGTAGTAGAGCCGGGATTGAGGGTTGCTGTCATGTTAGCAATACAATAAAATCACATTTCTAAGTCGTTTACAGATGTAGAAGTAAATCTTCTCTATTATTCTGGACAAAAATGTAATTGCACCGTAAATTTGGAGCGGGCGACTTTGTAATCACATTACACAAAAAATAATCATATTTTCAAAAAATTCAACATGACCTTATTCGAAGATCTTCTTTTTACGAAAATATTTCATTAAGAAAAAATGTATCTTCAAATTGCAGTTGTAGGACGCTGCCGAAATTGTTTTAATTTTTTAAAACTTTCACAAAATCAGGCATTTCAACGAACATGAAACCTGCACCATTCTCTTAAGCGCCCTTTATGCTATCTCAGGTCACAAGTTAACAAAAAAATATTTTGCAGTTTTTAAGAAAAATGATTTTTAAAAAAAATAAAAATTGCCTGTTTGACACAAAATTTCGCATCAAATACTATTTTTTTTAATCGAAGATAACTTTATTATAAGATCAGATTTTGATGAACATATTTCATTAAGAAAAATGTATCTTTATAATTGTAGTAGTAAGAAGAAGCCGACAAATATTTTCTTCAATTTTCGAAAAATCAGAGTTATTCACCAACATGTGACCTTCACCATTTTCTCGAACGTCATTCAGAATTTACAACAACAAAGTTTAATCAAAATCAAGGGAGCCGTTTATGAGTAAGTTTTACAAAATTAAAAATTGCCTATATTTCATTCAACATTACGCGAAAAACACTCAAATTTTCGAAAAATTGTACATGACCTCATTTGAAAATCTATCTTTAAGGAACAGGTTTTATGAAAAGAAATAATCT